AACTCTTCTTTTTAAACAAGGGCTTAGATTGCTTTAGGATGAAAGAGTTCTTCTGTTTACTTCTGTCTCCTCTGATCCGTTAACTTTAATAACTACCGTGAAAATTCGCTTTCTAGATGTCGGGAATGAATCAGATGCTTGTTTGGGAAAACAGCCCTTTAAGTTTCATTTTTAATTCAATTTCCCTCCCCCTGGATGTCCCAAAAGTGTAGCTCCTGTGGCCAGCACCTCCTGCTGCTGCTGCTGCTGCTGCTGCTGTGGAGAGTGGAAGCAGTCTCCTGGCGGTGGTGGTACCAGAAAGAGGCACAGGAAGAGCCGCTGGCTATTGAAGCCATACAGCAGCAGCATTCAGCTCTGCCCCTTGCTCTTCCTGATGTCCTGATGATGTGTGTGGGATGTTGCCCCCCCCCCGCCCTCGCAAGCTGGTGCCTCTGCTAGGAACATAGCATACCAGCTATTTGGCAAAGAAGGGAAGGGCTAAATCAAAGTCACAAAGAACATTTCAACCTGTTAAAACAGTATTTATATATTTCTGTTAAATTAGGCTAGAGCTTATTAGCAGAGCTCACTTGTGTGTGTGATTCTCCACATTAGGGGTTCATAGGGAGCCTGCATTTGCTGTGTATGGATCAGGGTGTATGTCTTCTGAATAAATTGAAAAAGCAAGTCATATGGCACATCAAGTTTTGAACAAAAAGCTTTATATCAGACATGTAGGAATTTAATTGCCACTATCATTTGTCTTTAACAAAGATAGCAATACAGGCACTGGGTGGTATTTGGGAGAGTTTTACCCAGAGTAGACCGACTGAAATTAGTGGACCTAACTTAGTCATGTTCATCAGTTTCAACAGATCTACTTTGAGTTGGCTACTGATATCAAACAATTCACTCTGGCAACCAGTCTAGCATAGATATAAATTATAAGTATATGAATGTACCAGATTAATCTAATAGTTCTATAGAAGTGCTCAGTAAAAAAGATTGTCCCTCTCCCTTGGTCTTGGAAAGCCACTTGAACATTTGAGCCCAGTCTTCCAGCTAAAGTATGAAATGAACTATGACTAATCTTACTTTTTAAAAGATCACTTGAATTCTCTGCAAACCCTTGCATTGTCTGCAAAAGTTCTATTTTAAAGTTCAAAGTACTTGCAAAACCAATAATTTTAGTCTTGTGTTCAGAGTAATATATTTGAAGAGAAGCTGGCAGCCATAATTTCTGTCTAAGGACTCACTCTCTTGCACATACGTGGAATATTCTCTAGATGCATACTGAAAACATATAAGCAGTGAGGAAAAGGAAGAAGAAAATCCTACTAAAATGTCAAATGTGTTTCACAGTAAATGCTTTTGAAGTATGAAGGATAATACCCAATATTATTGATACAGTCCCATAAATGCACATGTTATTTTAAAGAGTTTAATAAGCAGAAGAGACTGGTCCCTGGTCCAAGGAGCTTACTATCTTTTTCATTAAAACTATTTTAGGACCCTGGGAAAATGTGGAAAGTTTATTTTAAAGAACACCTGGCATGATCCAGCTAAATGCACTTCTACTGGTTTCTGTGAAGGAAAGTTAAGCATATGTTTATTTCTCCTGACAAAACCACTGAGACTTAAAACTACTGAGACTTAAAAGATACTTCACTTGGAATAAATTGTGCCATTCATTAAGAAATGGGAGACCTTTTGCCAAATCTCCCACCCTTGAAGCTGTCATAAGAAAGACCTTTATGACCTATTAGACCTATTAGAAGATAACATTACTTTTGTAGGAAATTTATTGCGTGTTTTATGTGTTTTTATCTTATGCTGGTTTACTGTAGCAGAGAGTATGAGTACGTGAATCTTCTACTTCTGCAGTTGCCCTATTGCCTATCTAGCATGCTTTATTTATGTATGGAGGTGCTTTTATCTTATGCTGGTCTATAACAATAATAAAGATTTGTATTGGATTGGAGTGGATTGGATTGGGTTGTAGGGAATCTGAAATTAACATCCCAGTTCAGCTGTTTCTTATGGTCAGCAGTAATGCCTCAACATACCAGATTGAGGGGGTGTACTGTGGTATCTCGGGTTACAGATGCTTCAGGTTACAGATGCTTCAGGTTACAGACTCTGCTAACCCGGAAGTAGTACCTCGGGTTAAGAACTTTGCTTCAGGATGAGAACAGAAATCGCACAGTGGCAGCAGCGGGAGGCCCGATTAGCTAAAGTGGTACCTCAGGTTAAGAACAGTTTCAGGTTAAGAACGGCCCTCCAGAACGAATTAAGTTCTTAATCCAAGGTACCACTGTACTGTGGATGTTGGGGGTTTTTATGAGACTCTTGGTTGGCATCCATATGTTTTGGGAGACAATGGAAGAATGTGCCTGATGTTAAGATAAAGGTGTATAACTAAAAGCAACCATTTGAAAAACAAAATATTAATTACATGTTTGGTTGGCTTGCCTAAACAAAAAGTTTTTTTAGGAGGCATTGAAAACAATGCAACAAAAACTCCTTGCTAATATTGAGAGGCAGGGAGTTCTTGGCTGGCCACATGAACAGAGCAATCCTAAGCATATGAAGCTAGCAGAATTTATGCTGGCTTAAGATAAGACAGTGTAAATTACCTCTATTCCAAAATCTGTTCAGGAGCCTTATTACTGTGAGCTGAAGCTGAGTGGGAAAACACCCCTTTAAAATATAGTTTTACCACCATTGTTGCCTGAGTTAAGTTCCACAAGATTGCCAGATAACATGACTGAGCTGAAAGAGGTTTGGAATAGGTGTGAGTCTCCCATTGCCCTGTCCTCCCCCACCAAACCTCCCATTTGGACTTATGCCAGTTTAAGTTTTGCCTCCTTCAGTTCCATTCCCTGAGCTTCAGCTTACAGAGGCTTCTGAGGGAGTTCCACCAGTGCAGCTCTTGTGCAGCTGGGACAGCCCAAGTTCAGTGCATTTGAAACTCACTCATTCCAGGCTTTGGATTGTGTTGTAAATGACTGGTTCCTTGCAAATTTCCAGTTTTGTACAGCTAAGTGGTCTAGTGGGAATATTTGGGTTTAGTACAATAGTTATCTCTGTTGCAGATTGTTACATTAGATTTGATGTGAAACAATAACCTACCCTGATTTTTTGTTAGTAGGAGCTTAGGTTAGTTTTTAGTATCCTGTAGCTCTTTCCCTCAGTTTGTTTACTAACAGGGCAATCCAGGGAGCCAGCATGGTGTAGTGGTTAAGAGTGGTGGACTCGTAATCTGGTGAACAGGGTTTGCGTCTCCGCTCCTCCACATGCAGGTGCCTGGTGACCTTGGGCTAGTCACACTTCTCTGAAGTCTCTCAGCCCCACTCACCTCACAGAGTGTTTGTTGTGAGGGAGGAAGGGAAGGAAATTGTTAGCCGCTTAATGGGAGTGAAAGGTGGGATATCAAGTCCAAACTCCAACTCCTCCTCTTCTTCTGTTGTACAGTCGGCTCAGCTGAGTTCAGTGGGGCATATTCCCAGGAAAGAAATTTGAGTATTACAACATAAAAGTATATTACTAATAATATTGTGTTCTTGTTTCTACTTTGATCTTGCTCTACTGAAAATGTCTTGCCTTGAGCGATGTGGTGCAGTGATATTGGATGGTATTGGATTTGATCAGTTTTTGCAGGAAAGATCTTCAAGGAAAAATTACATTTTGTAGGATGTGAACCTTATAACCCATAGGAGCTTCTCTCAGCTCTGCAGCGGAACTGAAACACACACTTGCCAGCTATTGCATGCCATTGACAGCCTTATTCTTATCCTGCATGAATTGATCTAAGCCGTCCAAGTTTGTGACAATCACTGCCTCCTGAGGGGGGTGAGTTCCATAGTTTAACTGTGGACTGTGGCCTATATTTGTATCTTGCTTTTCCACCGAGAAGCTCAAGGTTGGGTATATTTTCCTTTCCTTCCCCTTTTATTTTTGTGAATAATGATTCCCCCCCCCAGCTTCCTATGAATATGGAATAACTCAGTTTAACCTACAGTACTGCCTAGTACTATCATATTGCCTTTATACAAGTTGTTAAGTTATCTATAGTTATACTTTGTGAATGACTTATTTGGCATCTGTTCAAATTGCACAGCACTATTTTGATTTCTGTTTCTTCTCCCACTGTGCTGTCTGCTGCTTTCCTTCTGATAGTCAGGAGTGTCACCCTTCCAGTGTGGTAAATCAGGACCTCCCCCCAAACGCTGCAGAACTCAATGTAATTAGGGTTCTTTCTGATACACAAAGCCATCTAGCAGAAAAGGATCAATCCAACTTGTCTCCCACAATATCTGCCCTTTGATTCTTCACATCAGCTTGACATGCGGTATAGGAAATAAGAGGCCTGAACTGCGGGATGCTGCCTTCCGAGGCATTGAGTGTTCTGTAAACTAAAATTTGTCCCTCAGAGGGTCAAAACCAAAGGTTAGCAAGCTGAGTTAAAAGCAGAAATGCTGCTTCAATATAATTTATATCAGGGCCTGGCTGCTTAAGAACACTAGGGGATGTTTTGTAATAATGTCAGGCAGAAATAAGTCACAGCAAAATAGAAAAAATTAAAACATTTTAAAAATAGATTTATTTAAATTTCTAGCACAATTTGTCTGTATGACTCTAGTTTAAAACACACATCACACCTGTGAGATTGAATACACACACACAAACACACACACACACAAAATATTTGCAGAATTCCAAGATAATCAGAAATTTAATCATGACTACTGAAATCTAGCTTAAAGTCATAAGATAAAGGGTTCATAATGTAGTGGTGGCCAAACTTTTCTTTAAAAAAAAATAAAATATATTTTTATTAATAGGCCAATCAAATCACATTAATTCCAAATCACATTCATTCCAAATTATACAGCCAAATTTTTAAATTTTTTGTTGGGGGTACCCATACTTCAAGCTCCGAAAGGGGTCCAAACATCACTCTTGCTGCTGCTTTGATTAAACGGAAAATAACAAAAAGACTATCTGGATAGAACTGGATAGAACTGTTTAATCACCCTTATGTTTTTAAAGCAGTGTCTCTATGAATTATATTTTAAAAGGAGGCACATAATTCCTAGAGACACTGCTTTAAAAACATAAGGGTGATTAAACAGTTCTATCCAGTTCTATCCAAATAGTCTTTTTGTTATTTGCTTCATCCTCTTGTTGTTATCATATATACCTTTCTTTGTGATCTCTGATAATCTTCACAAGCGGGTGAAAGACAAACATATGGTAGCCAAACTTTTCAATGCTGAATGCCTCAGTCCCCCGGAGTAATTTCTTAGAGGCCACATGCACCACCCCTTCATATCCTGCATCAACAATCCATTCATTAATTGACCTCCCCCTTTCATTCATTCATCTATCTGTTTGAGCGTGTATATGCACATACAAACAGAATTCCACCATCCTTCTGTTAACATCCCTATAAATCTATTCATTAATTCTCCAAACAGACAGATTAGAGGGCAGCTTCTGGAATTGCAACTTCACGGTTATTCCATTCATGAAGGCAAGAAGGCTTTTGCCAACCAGTCGCTTTCCTTGTTGCATATGCTAAGAGGGGTGCTCCTTTTGGGGTGGGATTTGTAAAAGGAAAGGCTGTTGCAAGATACTACGAGGGCCACAAGTAGCCTGCAAAGCACTGTACAGTAATGGCTTAGTGTCATAGATAGGTTGCAATGGCAAAGGAAGTCTAGTACAGTTGTACTTCGGGTTACAGATGCTTCAGGTTACAGATGCTTCAGGTTACAGACTCCCCTAACCCAGAAATAGTACCTTGGGTTAAGAACTTTGCTTCAGGATGAGAACAGAAATTGTGTGGCGGCAGCGCGGCGGCAGTGAGAGGCCCCATTAGCTAAAGTGGTACCTCAGGTTAAGAACAGTTTCAGGTTAAGAATGGACCTCCAGAACGAATTAAGTTCTTAACCCAAGGTACCACTGTAACTGTAAAGCAGCCCAGTATGCTTCTCTTTTGGGGTTTTTTCCCCTTCTCAAAAGAAAATAGGTACAAGTCTGTGCATAGGTGAAATTAATAAGGTAATGGTATTTTGATGAGACAAAGAAGAAGAGATACACAGAATATAACCTGTATATCACTTTTTATATATTTATATAATTTATCTGTCTCCCTTCCTCCTTGTTAGAAGCTCAGAGCATTATAGATGAGATTCTAGGTGATATCCCACTCAAGCATGGACCTTCTTAATGGTATGAGCTAATAGACTCCCTTCTTTAGTTTTTAGGGGTGTTTTAGCAATAGAATTTCTGCAATGGCAGAGCGTGAGACCAGGGAAATTTCGATTTCCCTTCCAACTCTATTACAGTATTAAGTTTCACACCAGAAGTGGAAACACCATTAGGAATCTTATTCTTTAGATCTTAATAAAATGTTACGTGTAACATTTTGTTATAGGAAATCTGGGGTTTTTTTTGGGGGGGGTGGCAGGGTTGATGGAGAAATGACTGGAAGGTTCTACAGTTCTGTAATAAGAAAAGAATATGGGGAGTTGTATTGGCTATGTGGTGGAAAGAGAACAGGTTCAGCACCCCCCCCCCCAAGGAGGCCTTTAAATAGCCAGAACTGAAGGCCTGGCTAGAGTATGTAGAATAAAGTGTTTTTCTTTGTGCATGTTTCCTATTCACACCCAGAGTTTTCTTCTCTTAAAAAAAGAAAAGATAAAAAAAAAAATAGCTAGACAATCAAAATGATCTCTACTCAAGTATACTTTAAGTTGTATATCTCTTGTGGATTTATTCCCAACACTGGTGTTTTTTTCCTTCTTGGTATTTTCTTATGTACATTTTATTAAATATATAAATTTTTATTTTTTAACACAATATTTCAAACATTACATTAACAAACAGTATACTTTTTGCTCTGCCGAGCTCGTGGCTTCCCTCCATCTCTTCAACTGGTTTTTTGTTTTCAGATAATTATACTCACACTTTAAATCACCAATTTCTGACCTTTATCATTCTTAAAGTCGTCTCTTTCTTTCTGGTCAGAAACAGTTTTACAGTTTATCGTTGCAATATTTATTTCAATCCTTCCAGTGTCTTCACACTGTTCATATACCAAATAAATTTACTCCAGTCTCTTTGGAATTTTTGGTTACTTTCCCAACACTGTTAGAAACTTTTTAATTGCTGAACACCTCAGGTGCCCTCTGTTGTTTACTAGCAACAATGGTCATGTTAATTGACCATTTTTATATATTTTCCATAGAGCAACTACAGTTATATGTGTTTTACCAAATGAGGTGGAAGTATAGATATTTATAATAGCGTAATCATACTTGCTGTTTCAGTCTCCTGAATGCCAGCTGTCTTTTTTAAATTTGTTTTTCAATCTCCCTTCTGTTTTTAAAGCAGTGCCTCTAGGAATTATGTGCCTCCTTTTAAAATACTGACTACATTAGCTTGCCATGGTAAGCTATGGTTAATGATTTAGCATTCATGCACAGATCAATGCTGCATCACTCTTTCTCGCTAGTGAATGGAAACAACAACCAATGACTCTTAGTCTTGCCTTAGTGTTATGTCTAAACCTTGGCTTCAGATCATAGCCCCCATTTTGAATGTACTGCTAAATTAAGATTTATGATTCATTGTTCCTGCTTGCTAGCAAGGAGAAGGGAAGAGAGAACCAATCTTTGTATTCAAAGTAAACCATTAATGATGGCTTAACATGACATCAGAGTGCCCCCATTGTGGTTGGAGAGCAAAATTGCAAAGGCAAGAGACCTCAGAAGAACCCAGTGTTTTGGAAAAGCTATTTTTCTAAGTAAATACCAATTAGGTTTATTTTAATCTGCAGCAAAATCTTAATGAATTAATTATACTAAGTTGATCTTAATCAAGTGAAACTAACTAGCTACAATAAGAATCTGTTATTAGGTCCATTACTTAATTAATATGAAATCATGATGCACGTTCCATGGAGAATGATAAGACCTTTAATACTTGAATTGCAAACATTTTTAATAGCCTGGTCCTTGCTCTGTGTCCATACCATTCTGTGTAAGCTGATATACAGACCCACAACGACCTTGTGGTTTGTCCTGGGCTGTAGAACAAATTCAGGTATGCCTAGCACAACGTTTTGTATCATCACTGTCTTGGGGTTCATGAATGGATCCTGAGGAGGGGGATTGGTGCTAGATTTCCCTGTGCCATAACACCTCTGCTATTTGAGATTCAGCCAATCCTCATTGCCCTTAGTTTTATGTCTTGCGCTGCATCAGGGCCATGGGATTGGAGAACGCAGAGCTGACCTTAAAGAAGTAGGCAACAGGCACTGGAATAAATCCTTTTGATATGCTTCTAAATATTTATTTCGTTAGTTCAAGTTGGTTAACTTTACTCTCTGAATTGACAAACCATGACCATGTTTGGGTTTTCTCTCTGTGTGAGATGCTGAGACTTCGCTTTCTTGCTGTTGCTGCACAGAGTTTTGAAATGATAAGTCATTGGGCTGGAGCTGGAGGGAAGCATGTGGACTGGAGGCTAGAAGAAACTGACTTCCCTGCCCCTCCCTCCCAGCAGCTCCCCCCGTTGAGTGTTGGGGACCAGCTGAATGGGATGAGCTATGGCATAGAGCAGGCATGGCCAAACTTGGCCCTCCAGATGTTTTGGGACTACAACTCCCATCATCCCTAGCTAAAAGGACCAGTGGTCAGGGATGATGGGAAGTGTAGTCCCAAAACATCTGGAGGGGCAAGTTTGGCCATGCCTGGCATAGAGGAAGGAGGGTGAAGGGGGGTGTCCCAAAAATCAGCCAAAGGGACTTTCCACAAACGTGTTTTTTGCTAGATGCAGCCATTGCGTAGGTAGCTATGTACAAACAAGAAATACAATTGAATGTCAATAAAACCACATTTTGTTTTGAATGCAGTCTGACAGGTTTCTTGTAATGTAGCCCCTGGTGCTTTATATCTTCAGAATTCTTTGCCATACCACCAAGATGTTGACATTAGACTGGACATTCCAGGAAGCATTTGATGACAGAAGATGTGATAAGAGTTTAATACAAAATGTAGAAGTTTCTTTATCTTTTTTGAAAAGGGTGATCTTCTGGTAGTTCTTTGAAAGCACCTGTTGAAATCCTTAAAAAGAAGAAGAATACAACGAGGCAAAATGGTCATGATATAACTTAAAACAGCACGCAAGCATTGTCTGTGGATTTTCATTCCAGATAGCTGGAGGAGGTGTGGCACCTTTTAGGAGAGGAACAAAACAAGACTAGCTTGCTTTAGAGCCCTTAAAATACAATGACAGCCACCAGCCACAGTCATCTGGTGAAATGGAATAGAATCATAAAATTGTAAAGTTGGAAGGGAAACAAGGGTAAATCTAGCTCACCCCTCTGTAATGCAGGAATCTTTCACCCTACATGGGGCTCGAACCCCCAACCTGGAGTGAGATTAACAGTCTCATACTCTACAGACTAAGCTATCACAGAACTAGTTTTCAGGATATGATCGTGCATTTTAAAGTTGTGAAGAAAAGCAGGAAAACGTTTTTCAAAGTAGCACTTCAAACTGGCCTTCAGGCAGGGCAATGGAAACTTTATAGCGTGTACAAGTTAGAATGTGGTTTCTTTGCATTATAATGAAAGCTACATTTTCCCACACTGGCTCCGTCAGACTTCCATTTGACAGTCCTTATGAGTTGGACTGGATGACACTCATTCTACTCTGTTTCTGGTACCACTTTTCCTGTTTGTTCACTTGTCTTAGCTTCCCAAACACCTGCAGCTGAAAGCCTTGATCTTTTCTTCTTTTACTCTATCCACAAAATTTGGCTGCAGTAGAGGAATGGTTGTGAGAAAACAAAAGCTTGCATCTTTTTCTTTGTTTCTTGATTACTTCTGTTTTGACTTTTTTTTTAAAAAAAATGTATCTATTAGCCACATTGCACTTTCTATGTGGATGGCCAAGAAAAGCTAATTTGCAAGTTTAGGAAGAACAAGAGGGTTGAGGGTAGGCCCTTGACTCCTGCATGTTGCCAGGCTAAAGGTGTACTAAACTGGCACCCCGGGGGCCCGTTTAAAGAGACAGCAGTGTGCCAGGTTGAAAGGAAGTGAACATTCTGGTGTTTACTTCTCCGTTACCTTTGCAAACTCCCCTGCCATCTGTGCCCTGCTCCTCTCTGAAGGACAAAGGGAAAGGCACTGATTATCACTGCTGCTACCCTTACAAGACGGTTGCACTATCAGATGTCCTGGGGCATAGTTGGACTTCTTCTGGTAGCAGGACTTGCAGTTGCTGGGCCTCTCTCTTTGTGTGTGTTGAGTTTTATTAAGAACCAATCACTCTTCCATTGTAGACCTCATTTCAGTAGACTCCCTGCAGACGGGCAGGAGTCAAGATATAGCCTGGCTTCACCCAATGCCTAAGCCAAACCGCTCACATCTGTAACCAAGAAGGTTGTGGCCTATTTGAACCCATAAACCAAAACACTTGTGTCACTGTGTTTTTTTGTTCTCCTGGGAACTTTGTGGCTTGGGTGCCTTGGCACGCAAAGCACGACTCACTCTTCCACTGTAGCCCTCATTTCATGGCCCGTTTAAGCTTCTTTCCAACCTGCAATTTATACGGGCTTGGAGGAATGACAGTGGATTTTACTTTCTGTTTCTGTATCCTGGTAGGTGACACCATTCTCCTCCAGTTCCTTTAATTGATTCTGTGTCCTCGTCTCTTCCTCTTCCAGCCTTCCCCATTGTTCCCCTGGCTTCCCATTGTTGCTTTAATTTTCCTGGCTCTTCCTGCAGTGCGTAAGCAGGATGGGAGAAGACAGAGGATTTTAACAAACTCCTTTACCAGTGAGTAAATTTCCCTTTCATGTCTGCTGTGTCTTCTTCTAGTCGCATCCTCCATCACTTGTTCTGTAGCTGATGCCATTGTACAAAGAGCAAATGGACCGTGGTGTAATTTGACTGGTGCGTTTGCAGTTCTGGGAATCATGAGTACCAGGAGAAATATTAGGAGTAAAGCATCTTCAGACGTTTTATTTATCTATTGGATTTCTTACCTGCCCTTCACAATAAGGTCTAAGGGTGAGCTACCACAGAATAAAAATGCAATAGTAAAATCAGTTAAAACAATTTTTAATGCTATATATCCAACTATCCAAGGCCATGTGTTTTCAACATACAACAAAAGCTACAAAGTGAGGTGCTAGATTCACCTCTGTGGGGAGGGAAATCCACAACACAGGAGCTGCCACAGAGAATGTTGTCTCCCAGGCTGCCACCCGACCCCCAAACTTCTATAGGCAGTGGGATTTAGTAAGAAAAAGGCTGAAATGTATATCATCCACACAAAAAAACATTTTCACCTTTATTTCTGGTTTGATGAATGAAAGCACATAGCGGAATGTTTCCAATTGTTTGGGCTTAAAACTATCTTTGCAGCTCACAATTTATAGAGGATATATGTATATAATGTAGCCTGGGGTAACACAGACAAGTTTACAAAACAAAACGTAGGTCAGTTAATAGAGATGTGTTGCTGCAGTAACACCTTTTATTATACTGATACATTAAACTGATGCATTAAAAGCTGATGGACCACTTTTGAGATGCCATAAATACTGAACAAGGCAATCCGAAGCAAGACTAGTGCATTAGATTTTAAAATCTAGAGGAATTATTTTTTTATTGAAAATGGAAACTATATTATTTTAATGTAAATATTCATTGGCTATAAAGTACAAATTAAGAGGTTGGTAACATGAGCCCATTTCACCATTTTCCAGCAGAAATGTGGAGTATGCCCTTTAGGTAATGAAGCACCACTTGATGAAACCATTTTGGTGTCTTGCTAATTAGAACAGATTTACATGTGTGCAGGGTTCACAGTGGGGTGACATTAGGCTAAGGATCTTGCTACGTAAGTTACTATTCCACAATGTACCAGGCAGAGTTTTCAGCCTTTAATTTAAATAATAATCCACTGAGTAAAGTTACACCATGAAGAAATAATGTATTGCACTAGTGTTACCTGCTCTGAATGGTTATGTGAGCTCTTGCCTTTTTAGTTGTCAGTCTTAGGAATTCTGCTGTTGAGCTAAATGTAGGCTCATGATTGAAGAAATGACTTGAGGAAAATATCTATAGCGGTCTATTACCTGGTTCTACAGGCCATTTGTGGGAAAGAGAGAGGACTGCTTTGATATGTAAGGTCTAATGGACAAGTGCCCCAATCTTCACCTGCTAAACTACTCTGTGGTTCTCTTGCTTTACACTACTAGGCTGGCAACAGGTAAGGGAGAAGAAGAGCAGGTGGAACTCTGCAGGGGCCCAGGAGTTTCAGCTGCTAGCTGCTACTCTAGAACCATGATATACACAATAAAGATAAAACAACTTTTATATTAAAGCAACAACGGTGGTTGTATCCACTGTTAGTCATACTCAGAACAGACCAATTGAAATTAGTAGGCAATACTTTCTTCAGCCTATTAATTTCAAGCCTAGTAGGATACAAACCAACATTTTCAGTGCTATAATTCAGTTACTTTTTATACATATTTGTCACGGTACATTTATATCTATGTAGACGCCTGTGTGTACATCGATAGGCAAAAAGGCAAGCTGTGCATTTTATTAAATAAATACTGAAGAGTTGGGAAGGGTATATGAAAGGTTTTGAACTATACAGATCTCTCTCATATAGATTGGAAAGACTCAAGCTGCACAGATATTCATTGAGCAAACTATTTATGGATTAAACTGTTTCCCTTCAGGTGGAAAGGCATCTCATTCATAATGCTTTCAAAATAAGACTTTTCTGAACAGTAATAAATTGAATTAAGGCAAAGTTGGTTTGTGTATCCTTATTGGATTATTTTCTTGATTATCTCCAGAGGAGCATTACAGTGGGAGCCAGTGTATCTTCTGATTTTTTTATGTAATCTGGTATTTAAAAAATATCTTGGCAATTATTTCTCTAGCCTTGCACACAGTCACCTTCATATTTATGATAATTATTTTATAGTTCTACTGTCTATCTACTATTTTGTGATGCTAAGCTACAGACATTAAAAAAAACCAGTAGTAACATGTAAGCTACTGGCCCTGAGTCCTTTTACCTTTTTTTTTTTGTGTGTGGTGGTAAATTCCATTCCTTGATGAAAAGGGTAGAAAAGGGAAAAGAGAAGAGACTGTGTGTGCCAATAATCAGGCTTGAAGGTAAGGAATAGCAAGTTGTTAAAATAGCTAACTAATGATAAATAAATACAAAGTTGAAATGGAAAGCTGTCGGGCACTATCCAATAGTTAGTTCCACACTTTGCACGTGAGCTGTGAAAATTATTATAGGATTTTCGGGGGGATTTATATTTCACTCTGTTGTGTAAATAGAAGATGTACAATGACTAAGCCAGAGCAGTGCTGAGCAGCTGAAAATGTGCTGTTGCAACAAGATATCCTCAAACCAATAAAAGTAAATCCTGTATTTCAAATTAAACCCCATACACTTCATCCTAAAGCCCCAACGCCTTTTACGTTTCCCTTTCTTTTGAAAAGTGCTGCTGACTGTTGTATCTTGCGCTCCCTTTTGGCAACTTCTCCTTAGTCTCTTAAGGCATCATTTATCAGCTGTCCAGGCTACATTTTTCATCCTCTCGTCTCGTGTCTCGGATTGTCTGGCTGTCTTCTCATCTACTTTGTTGTTCTTCTAAAGCCCTCTGGCAGTATCCTTCAGCTTCTCGGGCAACTTTTTCAGTTCTTTCCTTGAGAATCAGTCCCTCAGCTTTCTTTTCTTCTGCTACTACCCAAATGGTTTGCTTTGTCCTCCACTTGACTGGCTATTCTAGTCATCACATTAAGCTGCTATATCAGTGACTGCATCACAAGAAGGTGCCTTTTAGCTTAGCCAGACCATTGGGTGCATCTAGCTCATTAGGGTCTACATTGACTTGCAGTGACTTCCCAGGGTTCCATACAGGGACCTTCCCCAGCACTACCAGGAATTGGACCTGGAACCTTCTGCATTCAAACCATGTGCTGCTAAGTGGACTATGGCCCTTCCCATTAGTTTAGATCTGGCACAAAATCACATGCAAAGCGTGGAAACAGATGATATACAAGTACAGTAGAGATTTTACCAGCTATGCTAAAGATCCTTTATATTGTGATTTGATGAATTGATGCCAGGCATTTTTACATGTGACATGTTGAACATATTTAGCTTTGACCCTCTAAATATATTTAAACCAATAGTATAATGTGCCATCGGTATTTGTTTTGGTCAGCCACTTTTCTCCTAGATGCTTGTTTTTAAACAATGCATACAAGCTATAGACAAAGACAAACTTTGGCTCCGTCAACCTGTACATAAATTGCTGCAGCTGAAGCTGATAAATGTTTGAGACGTAACTTGAAAGGTCATTCTTAGTAAAGAGAATGTGATTTTTTTAAATGTTCAGTACTGGATTATCCTGTTGTCTGTTTTCTTCTTC